TGGTTTACTCTAGGGCAGTGATGGTGAACCTATGACACGCGTGTCAGAGGTGACACGCGAACTCATTTTTTTGGTTGATTTTTCTTTGTTAAATGGCATTTAAATATATAAAATAAATATCAAAAATATAAGTCTTTGTTTTACTATGGTTGCAAATATCAAAAAATTTCTATATGTGACACGGCACCAGAGTTAAGTTAGGGTTTTTCAAAATGCTGACATGCCGAGCTCAAAAGGTTCGCCATCAGTCTCTAGGGGGTGCTATAAAATAAGCAATTAATATTTAGAAAAAAATCCCAAAATGTGGCAACAGATGCTCACACTTGGACAACTCTTGTTTTGTGGACACATATGCTCCCGACAGTGATTTTCTATTGTGTTTTATGATGTGTAAATTTGATGTTATTTAGTGACTTAAACTCAGTGAAGGGGAGACTTGTGTGCTGAGCACAGGTTAGACAAAGGAGTGAAATGAATCCTTTTCCCAGGGTACTTTGCACTGGAGCTGTGACTCTTCCTGGCAGTGCTGGGAGGGACCGAGCTCTGCCATCCATCTGGAGCGCTCAGCTGTGGAGTTTATTATTTTAAACAATCATTTTTTAACTTTTTTCCTATCCATCTCCTCCCCCGCACCCCCCTCTCACACACACAACTATCAGCTTGTTCTCTATATCTATGGGTCTGTTTCTATTTTTGTTTTGCTTATTTGTTTTTTAAAAAATATTCTACACCTTAGTGAAATACAGTGTTTGTCTTTCTCTGACTTATTTCACTTAACATAATACCCTCTAGGTCCATCTGTTTTGTTGCAATGAAGACGGCGATGCAGGAGATCAAATGTCCTGAATACGCCTGTAGGCTTTACACGTGAGGTGGGTGTGTCCTGAAATCCTCCATATCTCATACTGGCCATGCATATGCCATTGTATTTTCTGACTACTGAAATTATAAAACTGTGGTGAGAGTGTTTATCCTTTATGATTTAAGATATTTCCAGGAATTTTGGAATAGGAGACAATATTACTACCCAGCAATATTCTTTGAAACAAAATTCTTAAAGAATTTATAAAAATTGGCTTGAATCTTTGCCTTACAAATGGAATGGAAGAAAGGCTAGTACACAAATTAGGCAAGTTTCTGCCCTGTACATATAGCGATGCTACTGATATTACCATAGTTAAGCATATGTTGGGAGCAGCTTTTTAAATTGTAGGCAGGCTTATGTGATCCATCCACACTAATGTCCTTGTTATTTGAGGCGTTTATCGATGCAGTCAACATTTACTGGATATCTACCACATTCCAGGTACAGTCACCCCTCTGTATCCACAAATTCTGCATCTGTGAATTCAATCAACCACAGATTTAAAGTATGGGGGCAGGGAGGGGGGCGGGGGGA